CGCCTGCCTGGGGCTCGCCGCCGCCGGGTCTCAGAGGCCGCGCAGGGTCGGGCGTCTTGGGGCGCGGTGACTGTACGCCATGGGGAAGGCCAGGGCGGCCGGGGCGCGCACGAAGACTCCGGCGGGAGCGCGAGGTGGCGGGACAAGGCCCAACTCAAACCCGTTCGAAGTAAAAGTCAACAGGCAGAAGTTCCAGGTCCTGGGCAGGAAGACGCGCCACGACGTGGGGCTGCCTGGGGTGTCGCGCGCGCGGGCCATCCAGAAGGTAAGCGGGCGCCCCCCGCCCCAGTGGGCACCCCCTCCGGGATGGACGCCCCCTGTCCCGGGCCGCGCGTGAGAGCGGGGACAGCGCCTACCCCTGCGGGCTCATTCGGGAGCGCCCCGCCCGGCCTCTCTGTCTGTCGACTCTGAACCTGACCACCGCGCGCCCCTGCGTGATGTCTGAACCTCTTTCTGCGCAGCCAGACTCGGCAGCTGGACGGCCAGGACTTGGGCCACACAGTAGCTAGCTGGGAGGCCTTGGGCAAGCTGGTTATTTCCCCGCGCCTCAGTTTCCTCATCCGTGACATGGAGATCGTAGGGCTCTGGGGAGGATCAAATGTGTCCCTTTAAAGTCTTTAGGACAGTGTGCGGTACAGCTTGGTGTCATGGGGCATATACCTCCTGTGCCAGTCACTGTTCTTATCTTGACGTCTCTGCTTTTGCATGGGCTAGGATGACCTTTCCCTGGAAAACTGTCCGTCCCCGCACACGTGGGACTCCTCATCCAGCTCCCTCAGGCAGAGTCATCACTTCTGTGCTGCCATGGCATCCTCTGTTAGACTTTGAACTCTGCTGGTTCAGGGACCATAGATCTTTTTTCTTCACAGAATAATGGACTACATAGGTTGCTCAATAGATGTTTGAAGAATGAAGGTATCTCTCCTTTGAAGCACATGACCTTGTCCCTTGCGGGGTAACTGAAATGCTACCTTCTATGGAAAGTGTCATAGCTTTTATCTGTCCTGTGCTGATGGTCCCAGAGTATTCTGTACCTTTCAAGTTCAATTCCACAAGTGGCATTCTATATGCAGCTTCTAAGACCTACCTATTCATTGGTTTGTTGAACAATATTTATTGTTTCTCTGAGGAAGACACATTAGTAGGTTGGTAAAAAAAAATTAGGGCACAGAAATGACGTGTGAATTTCCTAACATATCGCTGGGAAGGGCTGGAGCTTGCACTGGGTTTTAGCGTCTGTGAAGACTTTATGCTCCACTGAGCACTTACATTTAAGCTCTGTTCTGGCCACTGCCTTTAAGGGCACATACTCTGTATTCTGTTACACAGTGTGCGATCCAGTTGGTCTTCAAATTGAATCAGATGTCATCCTTACTGCGAGTATGGAGCTGGCAGTATGTACTGTAAACAAGACAAACTTCCCATTGATTTCGACAAGTCTCCCATTACGCAGCCCAGGGCAGCTGTGGGGGATGAGATAGTGTGGGCTCTAGAACAGACGTTTGTGTTCACTTCAGCCTCAGTCCTCTCATTTCTAAAGTGGGGATAATACACATTTCATCGATCGTGGTGGTTGTAAGAATCGAGTGAGATCGTGCATTTAGCACAGTAAGGATTCTCCAAACAGTAGCTATCATCCCTAAATGTCTCAGCTTGTCATTGTCACTCTCTTTCACAAGCTGGCCTGAACCTATTGTCCTTGTTTTGCCTTTTACAACTCAGTTTGTCCAAAAAGTTTCTTATCCTCCAGATCTCAAGGGTGAGCCCAAGTCATCACTCTGATACTTTCCCAAGCCCCACACCTAAATGACATAGGTTGCTCGGGCCTCTGGCGTCTGACGGGTCCAGGTCCCTCCTCAGTGCTGAGGGGCTGGGGGCGGAAGGGCTGGAGGCCGGCCAGCCTCGCTGCTTCCTCTGATTCCTGGTGCTCGGGCCCCAGAAGAAGCTCAGGCATCTGGAGGAATTAGTAGAACCTTGGTGCTTTGGGGAAAGTGTTTCCATCCTCTCAGCCAGAACCGCCAGCTTCCTCGCCTGGCGCGGTGGCCTCTCAGGGCTCAGTCCTGCTTTCTGTCCGGCGGCTGTCATTTCTCTTTAACCTTCACATTGGGCACAGAAGCACTGAGGCGCCCTGGTCCTCAGCCTCCACTGCACTGCAGCAGCCCAGGTCCCCTCAGCCGTCAAGGACTCTCTTTGCAGCCAGCAGAAGAGCCCCTTTTTTTTCTTCGCCTCGGGTGGGTGGACTTGGTTTCGGTGGCCAGAGGCACACAAAACGGCCAGGTGGCATGCATCTTCCAACGCATTAGAGCCATTGTGTCCCCTGTGGGAGCATTTCCCCTTTGGGAACTCAGGTCAGCAAGCCTCAGAGCGCAGTGCCAGGTCCCTTGTGCAATTGTTTATCATCTCTCCTGTAGCGCTGCCGGACTTTACTAAAAGAATACAAGGAGAGGGATAAGTCCAATGTGTTCGTGGATAAGCGCCTTGGGGAGTACAATAGCAACGTAAGCCTGGAGGAGAAGATGCTGAAGAGGTTCGCTCTGGAACAGCAGGTATGGCAAACAGCTGGCAGGTACCTTCAGCCGCCCTTTCACACAGAAGTCAAGCACAAGGAGAAGGCAGTTTCCGCGGGTCTGTGGGCACTGGCTCACTGGGTACACTGGGGGGACCTTAAATCCCGTCCCTGGTCTGGCCAGGCCAAAGGGGACGCAGCCTTCTGCGGATCTCGGCTGGGTGGACGAGCGGCTCGACCAGAGTGCATGGCAGTGCTGTGTCCCAGAGTTTTGACTAAAGTGGCTGCCTTCGCCTCGGGCGGGTGGAGAGCGAGCAGATAGCGGAACGTAAAGCTGTGTGACGTACCGGAAGCTTAGCCCGATCTGTCGAGTTATTTGCCTTCTGCGGGTTCTGTTTATAGTGAATCATGACTCAGATAACCGAGAACAATCTTAAAGCTGCTTGGGCTACACTGTCGTGTTGCACAAGTAATAGAAAATACTTAGTTTTTACTATTAAAGGGATGTGCAAATTTTAGGAAACAGACTTTTTTTTTTCTCTTCTGTCAGCGACAACATGAAAAAAAAAACATCTACAACCTAAACGAAGATGAAGAATTAACTCATTACGGCCAGTCTTTGGCAGACATCGAAAAGCATAATGACATTGTCGATAGCGACAGTGACGCCGAGGATCGGGGAGCCCTGTCCGGTAAGGGCTGGGAACGGGGGCAGTCTGCTCAGCGTCGGGCTTTCTTCCTGCCCTTCTTGGAGACCTTGAAAAATATCCTTGGGTAACGTGTCACAGATCGTCAGTCTCAAGAAATTCCACGTGAAACAGGCGTCTTACTGTTTTAGTTTTAGGACTTTACGAAGGTGAGTATGCGGATGCAGCTGTAGCTGTCGATAAGGAGGCCGTGGCTTTGCAGGCTGAGACAGCACTTCCATATCCCCGATCTTATTTGAACTTCACCCTAGCTCATTTCATCCAGGAGCTCAAAGGAACAGGGTGGCTTGTCCACCTGCACAGGTGTGGCAGGGAGGTAACCCTGTGGCAGCTTCAACGAGAAAGTACCAAATGGCCGTGGCGGGGGTGCAGGACTGTGGACCCCAGCTCCGCCCCATGGCTGGTGGAGTTAGAAAGCAACAGGTAGCAGCTAGGAAAAAAAGCCTAAAAGACTTTCTGTTACTGGTATGAGATTTGGAGCAAGTCACTTAACATCTCAGCCTCTATTTTCTCATCCAAGGAATGGGATTTTTTAAAGGGTTTTTCCCCCCTCCAATTCGGTGATCCTCCCCGTGTTTGATTTCTGTTGTACGCCCTGGCAACCCGGCCGTGTTTCCACTCCCTGGGGTATGGCCAGTTGGTGGTTTTCTGTCTCTGGGTTTCCTGCGAGTGGCTTGTCCTGGGTGTTGCTAAGGCGCCACTGTGCCTGGGGTCTCAGGCCAGTGGTGGGTGTGAGGCGTCGTCCTTGAACTTGGGGTCAGTCCCCAGGGCCACGCCTGGGGAAACTGGCAGAGGGCGGTGCCCCGGCCTCACAGCAGACTTTCTGCTCTGTCTGCAGCCGAGCTGACGGCGGCGCATTTTGGAGGCGGCGAGCCCCTTCACAAGAAGCCGGCACCACAGCCGGGCGAGGACGGGGAGAGACCCAGATCCCGCAAAGAACTGATCGAGGAGCTCATCGCGGAGTCGAAGCGGGAGAAGGTGCGCTGGTCACGGCAGAGACACGGCCCTGCGTGTTCTCGCGCCGTCTGTCCCTGCACATTTCCCGGCCGGATTTGCCCTTTTCTATGAATTCAGTAAAAGCATTCGTTTCGAACAGGAGTATTTTAAGCTTCATCAAGCATATGTACTGCTGGTGGTTCGTTGTGGCTCTGGGTTTTGTGGGTTGGTTGGTTTCCGTGTTTTGACGTGTGTCCAGATTTGCAAAGCATCACCGCGTTCCGCCCACAGCGAGTAGTTTCCGCGGCAGCGCCGTCTGATGGGATTCCGTACCTTGCTTTTGGGACACTGATCCCCACGGTCTCTTTTTCCCGTTGGCACATCCGGGCATCGGCTGTGGCCGGAGCCTCACAGTCACGGTGCGCGCTCTGCTTCCTTCCCAGAGGGAGAGACAAGCCCGGCGAGAAGATGCCCTGGAGCTCACGGAGAAGCTGGACCAGGACTGGCGGGAGATCCGGGCGCTCCTGGCACGCAGGGCGCCCAAGCCGGGGAACAGAGAGCAGGAGAAACCCACGGTGGGTTGTGGTGCGGGCGCACGCCGAGCGCACGTCTGCGGACACCACCTTCTCTAGAGAAAAAGCCATGACCAGGCGTCCTCCTGGCCTGGGGCCTTGGCGTCACCACCTCTGGTCCCCGTTTCTGTTAGGACCTAAGTTTCTGCAGAACTTTTAGCAGGTCATCTGAAACGTGTGACCTCAGGGTGGAAGTAGACTAAAGATGACTTCAGCGTCCACTCGAAAACGTTCGCTAAAGAGCATGGCAGTTTCCCAGTGCGGGGGACCGCCAGCCCGGGTTCAAATTAATTCGTTTACTTGTCTCCCCTGCGAACGGCATTTGGTCCCCACCGCACCCCCTCAGTCCCACTCACTGACAAAGCTGCGTTTGTTTGAGTAGCTGGTTTCTGGGAAATAACGAGGCTCTCACCTGGTCATGAGGCCGTTGGGGGGGCTTTGTGAGTCACCCCGCCGTTGCTGTAACCTTCACCTGAGCTCTCCCTTGGGGGCTTAACACCTGGCTAAGCAGTGTTTAGTTTTATTAGAGTAGATATAGTTTGAGGAGAACTTTCTAGAAGTTCAGAGTCCTATGTGACCTAAAAATATTCTCAAGTCTGATGAGAACAACTTCTCCCCCAGAAGAAAAGACTCAGGGTGTGGGGTCGGCTCCTTCCGTGATGGCGTCAGCCACGAGTAGAACATGCAGGAAGCTAGTGAGCCGCATAGGCCTTTTCTCCTAAAAAAAACTACTCAGGATGAAACAGTCCTCCTTTCTGCCCTAGCCTGATGCATACGACGTGATGGTTCGTGAGCTTGGCTTTGAAATGAAGGCACAGCCTTCGAACAGGATGAAAACGGAAGAGGAACTGGCGAAGGAGGAACAGGAGCGGCTCAAGAACCTGGAGGTACGGGCGACGGTGACAGCCTGGCACTGGGGAGCCCCAGCCGTGTTGGGGACCTCTGCGACCTTCGTCTCAGGCCTCACTGCTTTGTTTTGTAAGGCGAGACGAAGACACTCGGTTTGAATCAGGGACTTTTTTGAGGCTATTTAAAGTTTTTTTATTTTGCTATAAATGTATTTTTTTTGGACTGTAAGGGCAAAAATGTATAGGTAATAGGCAGATACACCATATATAAAATGGACAACTCACACAGACCTCTTACCTCAAAACAGTTGCTAACAATATAGTATTCTGCCTTCTTCACTTTTTTCTGTGCCTTAAAAACTTTTTTTTAAGTTTCATCATATTAAAACACAACTGAAAGACACATGCTGTCCCACACCTGGCCTTTGCACTGTGGCTGCATCGTGGGCCTCTTCCCGGGTCCGCCACGTGCTCTCCCATGGCCCACGGTGGGCCTCGCTGCGAGCCATCCGTCCCCCCAAGCTACAGATCGGCAAGCGAGGGTCGGGCAGGCTGGCGCGTTTGGCCAGAGGGACCTCAGGTGACAGGTTCGCCTTCCTGGTGACGGGAGAATAGTTCTGCCACAGTATTTGTTGTTATTTTTGTTAAATAGCGTTTTCCAAAGGATGCCATGTATCTGCACGTCTGACCCAGCCTGAAAGCAGAGCTGGGCACGGTGGACTGGCAGGAGAGCAGGTGGCCTGCCTCCTCGTCACGCATGCGACGGGCACGGCTCACGAGTCCTCTCTGTCCCGCTCAGGCCGACAGACTCCGAAGGATGCGTGGAAAGGATGAGGATGAAGATACTAAACCCAAACATACGTCAGCAGATGACTTAAGTGATGGCTTCATACTAGATCAAGATGACAGGCGTTTGCTGTCCTACAAAGTAAGACGTTTGCCTTGGTTTTCCCTTTTAATCTAAAAAAAAACACATTTTCTGGGATTTTGTTTAATAGGTTTATCACAAATGGAAGTTGTAAACATCCCAGATGTTGGGGTCCCACCACCTCCAGGTGCAGCCCAAGTGCCAGGAAACCAGCTGTCCCCACTGTCACCTGTCCCCAAAGCTGGTGGTGGCTGCTGGAGCCCAGTGTCCTGGAGGAGGGTTTGGGCAACATGGTTCCCGGGCCTGTGGCCCCTGCAGGTCAGGGCATCATCGAAGGGGGTGGGCTGGGAGGCCCGAGCCAGTGGACAGAGGCAGCGTGGGGCGAGAGCGCGTGTGTGCACATCCGGCGTAGTCGCAGGGGGCCCAGCCGCTGTCTCCCGGCTCGTGACGCCCGCATTCTGTCCTAGGACGGAAAGATGAACGTCGAGGAAGAGCAGAGCGGGGAGGCCAGCGACCGTGAGAGCGCAGAGGATGCGGGCGAGGACACGAGGGAGGACGATGCAGAGGACAGCAGTGGCTCAGAGGGCCACTCAGACCTGGAATCTGACGGAGAGAGCGAGGGGGAGAGCGAGCGGCCAGGGCAGGCGCAGCAGCGGGCTTCTGGGCACGTGTCGCCAGGCGGCAGTGGGGAAGCCGCCAGCACCGAGCTGCCCTACGTGTTCGCAGGTGACGGCTGGCCGGGTTCTCAGAGCTCGCGATCACGTTCAGCGTGGCCATAAGTCAGCCTCGCGGGGTAGTGGGGACTGAGGGTGTCCTCCTGGATGCTTCGGCACGCCCTGTCTGTAAAGTCCTGGCTGGTAGATGGGCACAGTCACCTCCTCAGCATCTGTCCAGTGTGTCCTGGGGCCTGTCGGGCCTGGCACGACTGTCAGCCTTGGCCGCGGTACCGCAGACAGTTCTGTGGGCCCACAGCAGGGTGAGGGCAGACACAGCTCCCCGCAGACGTGTCTTCCTGCCGGTTTTTAAAGGTCAGCCTTCTGCGGTGGGCAGATGGCTGCCGCAGAGACCCAGCACAGAGACCTGGGCACTCTTGTTCGGCCACAGAACATCTTACGTAGAACAGGCTGTCGCTTTCTCGGGCACACAGAGAGAAATCGTCCAGTTCTCGTACACAGTCCTACGTCATCCTCTGGTTTAAGGTTGTTTCCAGAGAGGACAGACTCGCGGGTGAGGCTGGCTTGCGTGACAGCAGCCTCCGGTCAGTAGGGGTCTGGGGGTGACACTGCTCTGCTCGTGTGGCTCCTTCCGGCTCATTCTGAACAGCCTGGTGCTGTCGGCTCGCCTCGGGGCGCAGGCAGGTTCCCCGTAGATGGGCTGCAGGTCCGTCCTCCACAGAGGCCATGCTCGGTGCCCACGCCCAGCCCTGACACCTGGGACCCACTGGAGCACGCACCAGGTGTGCACATGGCCTTGTGGCCAGAGACGTGATGCAGTATTTACCAGTGGGTTGGCTCGTCCCTCAGTAAGGCAAAAGAAGTAACGTTGCTGATGCTGTGCTGAGGATGGGCGTCCGTTGCCAGGAACAAGAGTCGTTCTCACTATCTTGACAGCCCCTGAAGCCTGCGAGGACCTGAAATCGCTGTTATCCGGAAGGCCGACGGAAGAGCAGCTGTTGGTGCTGGAAAGAATCCAGAAATGCCACCACCCAAGCCTTGCGGCGGGGAACAGAGCGAAGCTAGAGGTGCGCGGGGGACCACGGAGCCGCCAGCGTGTCGGGGCTGCGCTGCGGGAGGGCCTGGTGCCCAGAGCGGCCGCTCGCCCAGT